AATGAGCATTTTTTGAGGATTTCCAAGTGCGCACTCAATTACACCGGAGGTTTTCCGCGCCCCGCCTCCCTCGTTTCGGACTCCGCCTACTGCGTTTATTTTTCACTGATGGGCTGGAAAGCTTCGAGAAAAACTCATCTTGGTCATTTTCATGCGCAAAAAAGCCCAGATATGAGTTCCCCACGGCGAGAACTTCTAAAATACGAAAACTGGGAAACGAAGTTTTGGTACAAACGGTACACTGCCTGTAAATCCCCAGCTTTAGGATTCACCGACATAGACTTGGAAACCTTGTGCTTGGTGCTTGCTAGGGACACACTCAGAATCAAAGAGGCACAATTATTCCAAGTATGCTATAGCTGTTCAAATCTACTCGCTAAACCCGCTAAATTGATTTCCAAATTCAAGGCTGTAGTGAGATGGTCGACTGAAGAGTGCGCTCGACGTGGGCTCGAGCCGACTACCGAAAATCGAAGAGCGGTTTTAGGTAGAGCCGTGCAACTCATACGCTTCCCCCTCATGACTGTTGAAGAATTTGCACAATCTGCTGGTATGTTCGGTCATTAAATTTCCTGCCATACCAATATTTTTCTTTTTTAGCCCAATCTGGACTGCTCACTGATCGAGAAGTGGTGAATCTGTTCCTCTACTTTACAGTAAATCCGAAACCTTCAATCGGCTTCAATGACAAGTACGTCAAAAGTGACAGATTTGATTGATGTTCTGAGCAGAACACTTCTATTTTTAGGAAAAGAATTTTATCTACACTCTATAGAGTTTTTCTTACCATAAATAGCTTAGACTTCCAACAAACATGCTCTGATAAGATGTCTCCTACTGTTTTCTACTGAAAAAGCAGTTTTTTAGCCCACGATGTTCTGTCGCAGGCAAAGAGCTGGTTGTCAGCCGTTTTCAACGAATCGATGGACGCTGGGGTTACAGTGGTACTCCAGACAGAATCAAGTTAGTTTTCCATACATGGGTACTTGTACCGCTAGATTTTCGCCATTCTTGAGTTCTGACTTCCAGGTTCACGGTAGATAGAAAAATATATGTAGTCGGGTTTGGCTTATATGGAGCTATACACGGTCCCCATGAATATCAGTGCACTATACAGGTGCGTTACCAGCTTTTTGACCTTTTTTTCTGCAGTTATTAGCTTTTTTGCAGATAATTCACTGCGGTACGGGAAAAGTTCTAGCGCAGAATGATACATCGTTTGTTTGCGATGGATCATCTTCAACTTGTCGAGTTTCCTTCCGAGAACCTGTAGAGATCACTCCGGGTGTTACCTATATCGCCAGCGCATGTCTAAAGGTACGTATCACGATTTCTGAGTAAAATATGATTTTTTGCTTTGGACTTCAATTTTTATATCGAGTTTCTCTGCAGGGTATGGACTCTCATTATGGTACAAAAGGACTACGAAGGATCGTCCACCAATCAGCCTCCGGTGGCGTAGTTACTTTCCAGTTTACGTATGCCGCTGGTAACAATAATGGGACAAGCGTTGAAGATGGACAAATCCCAGAGATCATATTTTATACGAACAACAGCTAGGCGTAAAATGTGGCTTATGTGCACGATCAGACTCTGTTATCCTCTAACTCTTGGCCTTGAGTAGTATAGACACTGAAGCAGTTAGAGTTGCTGTTTTAGTCATTGTCTTTACGAATATTTATACTTGAATAAGGTGCAACATCAAGGGGACTATCGAGCTTCAGTCTTACTCGTTTCTAGGAAAAAGTGATTCTGATGTTGGCTTCCTTATTGTACAATATTGCTTTGTGAGTTAAATCCATTAGAAGAGAAGAGCTATGTTTCTAAATAAACGTTTTTTTTTTGAGAAGTCTGAAGCAATTTTAGAGGAAGTCCAGCCGCTTAGCCGCGAGACTACTTGAAGCCCGCCCAGGTGACAATATAGGGGTAATGGCCGTTCAGAAACGACCCTGCGCCTGCTCTGATAAGCAAACGAAGGGGGAGGGAGAAGTGGGCTCGTGCCTCCACCAAAGGCTCAAATCATCCCTTTTCTCGGGTAGGTGTGAGAGAGACGGGTTGGGAGACGCCTCTAACAAATAAGCTCCGACCGCCCCTCGCGGTGGTTTCGAGTCCAACAAGCCATCTTCTTCGAGCGAATCAGTCGTAAAAATCCGTGATAATAAGAAAAGCTCGATCAGTCTTTGTTAGAAGAGCTACTGGTAAAACAGCATTAAGAGGGGAAAGGTTTGGGCAGTGATCTAGGCTGTTAAGAACGAGACGTACAATGACGGCGATTTGTACCTCCAATAGGGCTAAGGCATACCTTGGGCGATTTCAGTCGCCGCGC